TCTGTCATTTAAATAATGCCATTCTTTTATTGGTTACCATGGTGAAGACTCTGATGAAGACTAAAGAAATGTCAACTGAATAAATGAGGATAATGCTTTATTAATACCAAAATAGCTCGCAATATCTGAAAGTGTTCTATTGTATGGATATTGCAAAATGAATTAATCTTTTTTAAAATATTGCTATAATAGTTATGGGTATTTGGTTTGCTTGTATTGGAATTTAAAGACAAATCATTTTTACAAGCATCGGTATGTCTAAAATTATAATTGATTTGCTTTCACTGACAAACAAAAGTAAATATGATGACATTTCATATTATCATAAGGTTATTGTCTCCCTATGTGCTTCTTCTTATATTATCTCGATGCTAAATCTTTTTTTTTTCGATAGACTGTTAGATAAGCTAATTCATGGTAAGATATATTGGCATTATTTTGCTGTCTGATAATAAGAGGAGAAAAAAACAGAGAATGTTTTTCTTCATCGATCGAACACTATATTACATTTTGTGTATTGCGAATGTCATCATAACATGACGAACTCCTTGTCGTTAGTTCTACTGTTATACATTGTTCTTCTAACCAATATTGAAAGTTAATTAATTCATAAATTGCAAGATAAAATAAAAAAAGTTTCATCAGAAAATTTAAGTGTTAACGTTGCACGATATTGATCATGAAGAAATTATGTTATTTCCTAATGTTGATTTTCAACGTAAAGAAGATCATTCGCGTTTTCCAACATCAAAATGAAATAAATTCTTGGGTGAATCACCATCATTAGCTGCTGAACGTATTGCACGTTTACTTCCTGCTTCCGACCAAATGGTTTATTATAATGATTCATTTCAATATGAACGTTTGAAACCATTTATGGTACAAGATGAAACATGAAAAAAATTCATAACTTAGAGAATGAATAGTAAATTTTCTTGCAAGATAAAACAAGAAACCTCAAAAGCCTTCGTCCTATGTAAACTGATTGATGGTCATATGCTTGTAAGTATCTGACACACACAACATATATTTGAAAAAAAATAAAAATCACAAGTTTGAATAAGAAAAATTATTCGGAGCACTTGTTAACATTTATTGAAAACGTATTATTTGAGGTAGAACCTACAAATTTGAATTAATTACATTTCGTTTATCTTAACCAAACTATGATCTTCGTCCAATGTGTTAGAATGGTATCTTATTAATAATCTTTGATGAATAAATTCAAATGTTGATTCAAAATATTGAAGAAAGTATTAGTGACATGAATCGTGACAAAGCAACAGAAGATATTCAAACATAGTTTCATGTTCAAAATGACTTGGAATAGATATAGAGATGTTAATAATAGTTTCAATTTAATTTCAGAAGAATAAAACTGACCAAAGGTCGGACAACTCGCCTCGCGCCTATGCGCGTTGAACACCTTTGTCTCTTATTGCTCTAACAATAAGTTTGGCAACATTCCTCAAACATCAAGATGGAGTAAACATACGTTCCGCAAATCTCTGACAAACGTAGCATAAACGCGAGCGGCGGCGCGGAGAGGCGCAAGGCGAGTTTTGGGATCTCTGGAACTGACATAATATAATAATGTTGTTTTTAGGTATAAAGTTTGCAATACAAAACTTTGAAAAACCTAGGTTTTCAATGGGAATCCTACAGATTTGGCTACCACAATCCCATAATGTTATTTTATGATATTTACGATAATATAAATGATGATAATAAAGTTTTATTGTTTTAAAATTATAACTCATAAACACACCAATTGTCATCTTCATAATAAATGCCCAAAATTGAAATTATGAGTGACTATTCCACTCCCTATGAAAGAAAAACTAACTTACCGATTGTTAGTTGAGGGGATGAATCAATTTTAAATCTGTGTTTATTCTGACATATTAAACGAATGAATAAATCGGTTGTTCCAACTTCATCCAAATCTAATACAAGAACTTTCTTTTTCGAACATAAACGTTGTTTATTATAAAAATGACAAAAACAGTTCTCATCATTTTCTTGATAATATGATGAAGTTAACGATTTATGACAAGAAAATGATGAAAAACAATTAGAATTTTTTAAATGAATAATATTCGAATAATTATTATCATATGTTGATTTCGAATCAATCGTACCCATTACGTGTTCCATTTTGCTTAACTTTAATCAATGTATATTTTAAAAAATCACGTAAATTTAACCTTATCACAACTGTTGATAAAGCAGAACGAGACTTTTTCTCTTCATTTTATAACTACTTATGTGTATGCATAACTAAATCTTTATTGATCTTGTTATCTTTAAATTACTTAGAATAAAATAGTCGCTCTCTTCCATTTGGCGTGTCGATTAATTTATTGGAGTATGAAAAAAAAGAGAAGGAGAAAATCGATATAATAATCACAAAAAACAACATTAACCGGCCTTCTTCAGAGTAAGGTAGTCGTCAAAGTATGAGAGTCTACAATGGTAGTATACTACTGTCATTATCAACAAATATGTGATACCTTGAATTTATAGTATTGACATGATAAAAATCGTTGTTTTTGCCTGTTCTTTTCTATCAGACAAATTAAAGTATAAAATAATCTTGATACAACCAATATGTTTTTCAGTTCGTCCCTTATTCTTTATAATCTTTCATTTGAGTCAATCTAATGACATTAATACCAACAATGCTTACAATAATGCAATCAAATCTAAAAAGACTTCATCTTTTTGCATAAATCTATATTCGGTTAATAGTAATTATGATTTCCAGAATAAAGAATATCTGATATTCTCATCATTTTTCTGAGCATAAACTTGTCTGTAACTAAAAAGGCTTTTCTTTATATGTAAAGTGAGCAGCATTCGATAATCCACTTGAATGAATATAAGTAGCTTACCTTAGGCATATGTTCACGTCATCATCATCATTCTATCCGGATCATTGTCATTGATTTACGTCTATGGATGCATCATCGTTAATTGATTGATTGCTAGTTAGTCTCACTAAATGCTTATATATGTTGCAGGAGAAATTGAAATTCAGGAAATTTTAAAATTTTCTTAGGACAAATTACAATTTTAGTTTCTCCTAGGACAACTCAAAATTTTAATTTTAACTGGATTTTTTCAAGAAAAACTTAAAATCTTGGTTTCACCAAGGATAAATTAAAATTTCAATTTTTTTATATAGGAAAATTTTAAATATTGTTTCATTTCTGATGAATGACATTTGATGCCACACTGTATTTTTGCGTAGCTTCTCAAAAGAGATACTTTTTAAATAAATATCTTGCTATTTGAATAAATCGTTAACTGTTGAAAAGCTTCTTTGTATTGCTTTTTCTGGTTCAACTAGCTATTAATAATCTGGTGCTTTGACAACATTATCGTAGCTATTTAAATACTTATCAGCTATTTAAAATCGAACAATGTTGAAACATTATTGGAAGTATTTAAAAGTCGCTGATAATTATCTAAAAAAAAATTAGCTAGTAAATGATTTTAATATCTGTTGACTCTTTATACCTATGTACCTGCACATATTTCATTTTTTGTTTATTTAGGTAGCTAAACCAAGTTTCAAATAGCAAAACAGATTTAAGTAATGGATTTAAAACAAAATAGTATGCCATTTATTTAAAAGCTTAAACATAATCTATTACTGATTTTTTTATTTGTAGAATAAATAATATTTTACTTTAAGGACTCCTTCACAATCAGACTTTTTATTTTTCCACGGAATTCAACCAAAATTTCAGAGAATGTTAGTCTTGGCTAGAGTAGATTATGATTAAAATATCTCCTAAAATCTCCAAGATATTCATGAGTTATAGTCAATTTATTGGTCAAAACATTTGCTCTACCTAACGAGCTATAAATCACAAAATTGATAAATTCGACAACAATTGACGTAGTCTGAGAAGAAGGCGGACTTAATTAAAAAGGTTTTTCAGACAACCGAGGCGATTTTTAGGATTTCCATCAGAATCTTTCAGGATTTTAACAGCCTAGACATAATTTTAAATTTACTCTCTTAAGTTTTTCTGCTCAAAATCCTGAAAACCGGAAATATTTTGACGGAAATACACTAATTAAAGTTTCTAATTACCAAAAAATTAATTAATTAAAGACGAGATCTTCAACTATGTTCGGTGAACTTTTTCTTCAGGAGGTCTTCTATTGCGGGAGGGAGGGGGGGTGAGTATATGTGGCCTAAATATGAAATCTAATTATCGATTTATTGAGCAAAAAAAATTGAAAAGAATTCGGTGTTCCTTTACTTTTGGGTCACTCTGTATATAGAAGAATAAGAAGAAAAGAACTCAGTAGAAAGCGATAGATGCAGAGGGAAAATCCTCCGAAAACATTAAAGTTCACATTGAATTGGTACAGTAGGAAAGAGAGAGAGAAAGACAAATGTGTCTCAACATACTAAAAGATTATATGTATGTATCCACGTATGACACTATACTGAAAGAAAATAAAGATGGAATCTAGGTATCTTATGGTGTTACATCAGCACTAGCTAAAAGAAAGAGAGAGAAAATGTACAAGACACATCACTAACTGATAATCTTTATCTTATCTTGTCTTAATCATATTACTTATCTAATTTGTTTTCTTAATTGTAATCCCAATTTATTAACTTCCTAATGAAATATTTTACTTGTATATTAATTATCAAACTTAGAAAAAGCTTTAATTATTGAGAAATAATAATCTCATTGAGCATCCAAGAAGTTTATTAAATATCGAAGTTATTTAATGAGCATATATAAATTTTACTTAGCAAAAATCAATTTAGCAAAGACATCTTTGTCTTATTCTAATGAACTTCATGTGTATCTTATAAAGATTCAAAAAAACAATACGGTGATTATATGTCATATGTTGTTGGCTGATTGCTTCATTTTATTGATGAACTTTTAAGCTTTAATTATAATACATTTAAAAAAATTTCTTTCTTTTTAGTCAATCGCATCGAACAATAAGAATATTAGTTATTAATGAAATTGGCGTGTGATCTTTTGTTTGACTGTTCGTATTAAACCAAGAAAAGCTTTTCGAAAAATACTTCCACCAGCTAATGTATAAATATAAAATGACATACTACTTGCAATAAAAGCCAGAAGTATTTCAATATTATATAGAAATACTTTGATAGCATCTTCTAATGCAGATTCAGAACCGAACGATTTGAATGTAATGAGAAATTTTTCAATTGTCTGTGGAATACATAAGATAGTTAACAGAAGTACTTGTATAATAAGCATACGAAACAAATGATGATCAACTTTTTTAACATGTAATTCTTTTATTGTCGATGGAATATTAACCGATCCGAGAGCCTCATTTTGTATGCGACTATGAGAATGATGTACATGTGAAATAGTTAGTAAACCAAATAATATCATTAAAATCAATGGAATTACTATAGTTATAAATAAATATGTCAAATCAGTAATTAGACGACAAGTGTGGCTTTTTCCATAGCACTTCAGTGGTGCATCAGCAATGTTAGCTTCATAACAATAAAGCATATATGTATAAGTAAGAATCGAGAGAGTTACAATGATAAATATTTCTCGTTTAACATTTTTCAAATTACTCATTTGTCGACGATGAATATCAATAGATGATATTAACCATCGATCAATTGTAGCTAATGTAATCAACCAGATTGCCATTGTTCTCGTACTAAATACAATAAAAGCACGAGTTTTACAAATCCAATAGATTGTAGTAGTTGGATCAAGGTTCCAACCAGCCAAAATTCGAGTAGGTAGACCAATTAGAATTGAAATAAGATCAATAAATGATGAAGCAAGGAAAAGTAATGCACATGGATTTGATCGAAGTGTTCGTTCTGATAAAACTAAACAATTTAGAATATTTCCCACTACGCCAACGATAAAAATAATAGGTGCTAAATATCGATTGAGTTGTTCTGAGGTGTAATTTAATGATTCAATCAAAGATGCCATAATGAATAGGAACTGTGTGTTTTTGTTTAATAGTACAGCTATGCAAATATGTCTTGCCACAAATTATAAAATCTAAAATTTATATTAATACAAGAATAATGTATATTGAAAAATGAATAACAAACAAATATGAGATTTTCATGGATGAAACACTGAAAATTTATAGTTTGATTGTTGATATTATTCATAAATTTTTATTGCAAGTAAGAAAGTAAACCTTTTATAAGAAAATCTGATGCTATTATCAACAAAGACTTGTCGGAAAGAAGAAAATACTTTTTTTCAGGGAAAAGTCTAATTACTTGATGACATCGAGCAATTCACCGAAAGACAGTATTATTTATTATCATCAAATAAAAACTTCTGAAAATAATTAAAAGAAAAGCCGTAGGCTAGCGAAACGCCATGGGGGATGAAATATAGAGCTGACAGGGATTACTTTGAACTCGATACTAAATTTAAAATACGTAAAATGACAAATATTTCACAAACTATAGTTATTTTCAAAGATAATCGATCACCGAAGAAATTTAGTTAGGGAAATCGAAAAGTAGTGGCAGTAATACTTCTATTCTTTATGAAAAGGTTAAAGAGACTTTCTCTGTATATAGTCTGATAGAGAAAAAAATGCTCTATTTTTCTATTCTATTTGATTATGCTTCAACTAATATCATAATAATAAAATTTCGATAAGATCTGTTTTATTCGCATGCGTCACGGTTACATAATTTACTGGTGAGTGTTTTTTGAAGAACTTTTGATGCATGTATTATAGAGAAGTGCCATTTTCACCGCTGGAAAGAGAAGATGAAGATGCATCGAATAATGTGTTATTGGCGTTTTTGTAATATTGACTTCGGAAATATTTTGATTGAGTAATTCTAACAGGCGCAAATTGTTTTTTATGAAAAAAGAAAAAGCACAGAAACTGAGCTTTTTTCACAGGCTTTGCTCGAAAATAGTATTACAGGCTCGACTAAAATTCAAATCATTTATGTCAACATTCCACACTTTGTAGATCTTCGATTAGTGGTTTGAATTTCTACTTGATGATTGAAAATTCATTGTGAACATCTCACTAGATAGATTTGTTCTTAAAAAGGTCGATTCAAAACCTCACAAAAAACAGACGAGAAAACCCGGGAATATACGATTCCATGCGTCTTCGTCTTGTCTTTTCAATAGTGAAAAGCATAGTTCTCTATCCTGTTTCTATCAAAAGCTATTTCAAAAATACTAATTCGTGCTTTTTAAAATGAGTATTATTAGAACCAGCACACAAGATTACAACACAGATCTTATCGAAATTTTATTTTTATGATATTAGTTTAAGTATGATCGAATAGCATAGAAAATTAGAGCATTCTTTCGTCTATCAGATTGTGTAGAGAGAAAATTTCTTTAAGCTTGCTATAAGGCATTGAAGAGCTACTGCCACTACTTAAAGATTACGCTAAGTAGTTCTGCACTTAGAACAGATTTTTTTTCTATTAGTTATTTGTCTTTTTGCTATTCACTTGTGCTCTGTTTTCATCTTTCATTATTTGAACTATTGATTTAACTAGCAAATGAACCTGTTGCACATATTCATTATATCGACAACAGATTTCAATACACTATTATGTAACTCTGGAAGCTCACAAGCACTGATATTCATTATTTCCTTAAGTTATGGCTTGAATAAATACAAATTTCCGTCTGCACAAAGGTTAAAAAACCCTGCGCTATTTCTATTTTTTCGAAAACATCTGTAAATTTCACAAAAAATTTCACTAATATCATCATGACTATGAATAGTTCGATTTGGGATAACGAAGAGTCATTACCAACACTTACGAATAAATAAAAAATGAACATTATGACAGTAACGAAACAGACAAAAATTGGAGAGACGTGTTTAAAATCTCACAATGCAACCGTGATGGTGAGTCATTAACGCTCGTTAGAACAAGACAAGAAACGCGTTTTTTGCACAAAAGTTTCACTTTTCTCAAGAGAAAACAACTAAAAACTCCAGTTTTTGACGATTGTAACGCACTGTTTCTAGATTTTAGGATAAAAGCGAGTGTTAACCCTTTGAATCCTGACATTTTTTCGCGTTATGCAAGATCATGAAAAAATATGTTTCAATCTCTCTCTCTTGCGTTCAACTATCGCGATGATATGTGTTTGAATCCTAGATTCTTTCTTCATAGCCATATGAAATGATTTTCTTTTGAACATATCATATGATGCTCGTCGTTTAAAAAAAGAAAAGAACGCAAAATAGTTCGGTTGCCTTCTGAATGTCATCTACTAGATGACATTCAGCATTGAAAGGATTAACGCTTAAAAACAGGAATTGTTTGGGCCATTCTCACACTCTGAAAGTGAAAATTGTGCGCAAAAGAAGTGTTTCTTACATTGTTTAATGAGCGTTAATCACTTACAATCGCGGTTCCATTTTGAGCGTTGAAGCGTGTTTACCAAAAGTGTTGTCTGCTTCGGTAGAGAGCTTCTTTCATCTAACTGATATATAAGAATTATTGTATGCTGGAAGATTACGTCTGGATTTTCACACAATGAGCTACATCCTCCGTTTTAGATTAGCTTCAAGCTCTCTCTGAAATTATGTATGTTCTCAGCGACTTTTGATAAATATAGATAATAAAATAACACAAAGTTTTAGAGCTGTGAGGTATGTTCCGGTTTCCGAAAAAGGCAATATCCAACATTATAATAACTTCCTACATAGTATACGAAGCTGTTTCATACAGAAATAAAGAAATTTTGATAATTAACTATAAACTACAAGAAAATCAAAAAGTACGTTTTGAGATCATTTTTCCACTTGGAAAGTACAAGTGGTATGACGTAAAACTGTTTTAGTAGTAACCACTTCTTCATTGAACAATTATGGTTCTGAGATTTTACATAATTCTGCTTGGCTTCATATTGATCTAAAAGATTTTCAGTGTAGAGATTCTTTAAATTTTCAAGTACTTTAAGATTTGAAATTCCCTTGATACTTCTAC